TTGCAGCTCCGGCATGCCCTGAGAGCCCAATTACCACACAGTCTTCCCTCCTTAGACACCCTATCAATAATAGATGTAATCAGGGTCGATGAACTGCAGAAGATAATCCCTGTATTCTACAATTTGTTACTTACCCTGCCAGCCACTGAGCTGGCATATCATATTAAACGACGGTGAGAGGCTGAGGTGGGAGATATGGATGATGATGACTGAAGTGAAGTACTTGACGCATGCAAAACTGTTTCCCCCAAGGTGTCCGATCATTTGACTCAACTTTATATACTACATAGGGTCTACCTGAGACCTTCCTGTCTGGCTATATTTTGTCCTGATTGTAGTATTTTATGTCATATGTGGCTCGCTCACTCTGGCACCTTCTTCCATCTACTCTGGTCCTGCCCTCGCATCTAAGGGTACTGGACACAAGTGGTAAAATTCTTACATGACACCATGGATTTCCTGGTAACACCAGACCCTAAAATGTGTCTTTAGGATTTTTTAATTCTTTATGCAGGAAACCTTGTTTTTGGGAAAAAAGCTTATTGCTTATTTTCTCTTCTTCCACCCTCAATTTATGAACAGAGCTGAAGAATCAGAAACAAATAAAATGAGATCTTAAATAAGATACTTTTTAGAATTTGTTCTGACATAATCTGACATCTATTGTAAGGAACAGGAAGAAAAGATTCAATAGAGTGTTATGACAGTCTTATGTAAGAGGGCACTCTCCTGGGACAATGGAGGTTCCTAAAATTTGACTTGTTGCATGCCATAAGATACTAGATTTTATTATTAATAATTTATATAGAGTCATTGTCCACCATATAACTGTACAATGTACAGTTCCATCCATCTTCCCATCAACTTGACCAGCTTCCTTGTCCTGCTGAAGAAAAGCATCCCCAAAACATGATGCTGCCACCACTATTTTTCATGGTGGGGATGGTGTTTTCAGGTTGCAGTGTTAGTTTTCAACCACAGATAGCGTCTTGCTTTTAGGTTAAAAAGTCCAATTGTGGTCTCATCTGACCAGAGCACCTTCTTCCACATGTTTGCTGTGTCCCCCACATGGCTTCTCGCAAACTGCAAACGGGACTTCTTACGGCTTTCTTTCAAGGATGGCTTTCTTTTTCCATAAAGGCCAGATTTGTGGAGTGCACAACTAATAGTTGTCCTGTGGACAGATTCTCCCACCTGAGCTGTGGATCTCTGCAGCTCCTCCAGAGTTACCATGGGCCTCTTGGCTGCTTCTCTGATTAATGCTCTCTTTGCCCAGCCTGTCAGTTTAGGTGGACAGCCATGTCTCGGTAGGTTTGCAGTTGTGCCATACTCTTTCCATTTTTGGATGATGAATTGAACAGTGTTCGAAGCTTGGGATATTTTTTTATAACCTAACCCTGCTTTAAACTTCTCCACAATTTTATCCCAACCTGTCTGGTGTGTTCCTTGGCCTTCATGATGATGTTTGTTGACAGAACAGCTGTATTTATACTGAGATTAAACGACATTAGGTGATGTCTGAAGGCAATTGGTTCCACTAGATTTTAGTTAGGGATATCAGAGTAAATGGGGCTGAATACAAATGCACGCCACATTTTTCAGATATTTATTTGTAAAAAATGTTGAAAACCATTTATCATTTTCCTTCCAGTTCACAGTTATGTGCCACTTTGTGTTGGTCTATTACATAAAATCACAATAAAATACATTTACAATTTTGGTAAAAATGTGGAAAGTTTCAAGGGGTATGAATACTTTTTCAAGGCACTGTAAATACATAAAATGCTGACAATGCCAGGTATATTTGGATACCAACAAAATGTAAACTGCGGGAGAGTAGGAGTGTGAGTCCTGCTTGTATGAGTTCTGCAGATCAAGCAATCTATTTAAAGTGTTATTGAAGCTTTGTTTTTTTTTTTCTTTAACCACTTGCCCTCCAGAGGATTTACCCCCCTTCCTGACCAAGCCATTTTTTGCAATACGGCGCTGCATTTCTTTAACTGACAAGTGCGCGGTCATGGAACGCTGTACATAAATTAAATTTATGTCATTTTTTTCCACACAAATAGAGCTTTATTTTGGTGGTATTTGATCACTTCTGTATTTTTAATTTTTCGCACTATAAACAAAGACCCACAATTTTGAAAAAAACAAACAAACAGTATTTTTGACTCTTTGCTATAAAACATATCCACTATAAAAATATTAAAATCAAATTTCTTCATAAATTTAGGCCAAAATGTATTCTGCTACATGTCTTTGCTACAAAAAAAAAAATCCCAATACGTGTGTATTAATTGGTTTACGTGAACGTTATAGTGTCTATAAATGGTGGTATATATACTGGAATTTTTTTTTTGTTATATATACTAGTAATGGCAGTGATCAGTGACTGAGGCGGGCATTCTGACACTGGGTGGGAACTGACTAACTGTCACTGACATCCATAGTGACACTAATACAGTGATCAGTGCTAATAATAAGCACTGACACTGTACAAATGACACTGGGAAGGAAGATGTTTACATCTGGGGTGATCAAAGAGTTAACAGTGTACTGTGTGTTTTGCATTGTGTGCAGTGTGCTGTTTTACTTGGGAGACATGCTGCTGTGTATCTCGCTCCTGTGCAGAGAGATACAAAGCAGCATGTCTCATGCTGACAGGAGAGAGATCTGTGTTGTTTACACACAGATCTGTCCCCTCTCAGCCCTGACGAGGATCACCCAGCAGCCAATAGCGGTGCGTGCGTCGCCCCTACCCAGAAATGCAAATCACATATATATACATACTTGATTTTGTGCAGCCATGCCGCCCTGTAGCATTACTTCTGCTATAGGGTGGAGGGCAAGTTGTTAAAAAATAACAAACATGTCATACTTACCTGCTCTGTGTAATGGTTTTGCACAGAGCAGCCCTGATCCTCATCTTCTCAGGTCCCCCACCGCCACTCCTAGCACCTCCCATTTGACCAGTGCCCCCAACAGCAAGCTGCTTGCTATGAGGGCCCCCGCTGCTGTCCTTACCAATGAGGAGAGAGAGAGCCGGGACAGCTGAGGAGCTCATGAACATCGCTGGATCAGGAGGGGGCTCAGGTGAGTATTAGAGAGGGCTGTGGTGGGAACAGCACACAGAGGGTTTTTTTTATCTTCATGCATATAATGCATGAAGATAAAAAGCCTTCAGCCTTTACAACCACGTCATAATGGGCTCTCTAAGCCATTACTTCGCAGACATGTCCTCACATCCAGACCATGGTTTGTGGATCTCTGCAATATGTAATTGATGCTGAGAAGCTAATTACTCCACTTGCATATATTTGAGGTTTCTATGGTGTTGGTGAAACACTGCCCTTGTCATATACCTGTATGCAGAGCCTGAGATGACAAGGGTGACCTCTTGTACAGTTACTGTTCAAGCACCCCTGGTTGTTAAAACTAGGACTGCAGTGGTGAAGGAAAGGCACGAGTGCCAAGCTGCAGACACCCTGAGCAGTAACTTGGGAGTGCTGATATCTCACAAGCAGAGGTAAAGCTGTCATTGCACCAGGAAAAAGCCAAGTCCAATTGATGGTGTAGTCAGGTCCTACACCTGGTTAAGCCAAGTGGAAGGACACTAGCAAAATCAGAGTAAAAAATAGGCAGAAGTAGGCAACAATCTGTCAGTGAGGTACTGACTCATTAGTCAGAAGCATGGTTGATAGTCCAGGCTGGGGTTGATAGCAGAGGCAGACAGCAAACATGAGCAGGCAAGGGTAATTCAAGAGGAAGCAGGGTCAGTAACAGGATCAAGAATGTGTATCAGAAACTGGATCATGAGAACAATGCTGAAGACCATACAGCAAGGAACTATTGCAGAGTTCAGGTTCATACAAGCTGCTTGTTGGCAGTGGACGTACATGCATGTTCCTATGGGCACTTGTGTGCTGGTACATATGGGCAATGATGTACTGTATGTGCAGTCAGTCTCTCATGCTCATAGTAATATGCATGCCTATTAGCCAGACAGCAAGTTAGCCTGATGGTTGGCAACATGTTCCTGACAAGCTCTAGACCACTTGAAATCCCCGATTCATGCATTATGTAGTAACGGATACAAAAGCACCAGAAAAACAATATTAAATACCTTTTAACTGTTATATTTTTAAAAAAGGTTGCCTCTTTTGGCTTTTGCTTTCAAAGTCTGTAAAATGCAACAAGAATGCAGATAAGGACTTGTGTCTGACTTACATGATTTGCTTACTTGTACCAGGTTGTTGACTCAAGTTTTAAAGCCTGTGTGCTCAGCGAAGGTGATCGAACAGATTCCTCTATCCACATGAAACAAGAGTGGTGGATGAGTCTCCCACTGCAGCTATAGTAATGTGATAGCTGGCACCACGGGCAGTCAGAAAGCTCGAACAGCACCTGGGCTGACAATTTTCCACCGGGCACTATCGGTTGAAAAATGTTGCGCAAAGTAGTGCTGAGAGGGCCACACACAGACTGAATTTTGCACAGCGTATGGCCAGCTTTAACACGTCTAGGCAACTCGCGTTTTTGGTAGAAGGCCAGCAATGAAAGCCCCTGTACTCCTTACATGACAGGTTTCTTCCAACATATTGCACAGAGCTTTGAAATTTGTACAAAGAATACAAGCCATAGAAACTTTTCAGAATGCGGCAGGCATGGGCTGCAAGGCAGAAAAACATATCGGTTTAAGAGATAACTGTTTAAAGGAAATGTTTATGGAGAAATAAATGCTAACAATAGTGAACCTGTGGTGCTATTGCTGATCTTCAAGTCTGTTTTGTGTGGGTATACTGCAGCAGTCAAGTGTTCAGTGTTTCAGCAGCCACAGCTCTGTGTTGGGTGTCAGGTGACTGGGTCACGCAGTCTCTTTTGCATTCAGAGGACTCTTGAGGGGGGGGTGAGTAGCTGAGCTTCACTGAGACCATAAGAAGAAATACAGCTTCAGTGGACAAGTGCTACTAGCTCGAAGGAAGTACAGAGGGCCCAACAGAATGAGCCAGGGTCTGCATGTAATAAGCCAACAGCAGCAGCAGCAAGACGAAGAGGAGGATAACGAAGAAGATGGCATAGTGGGAGATTCATATTATGGAGATGGAGACTCTTTCATGGAAGGAGACCTTGACAGTGAGGAAGAAGAGGGTATGATTAGTAGCTAATATACTCCATGAGAATTAACCGATGGGATGAAGGGGAATACATTTATGTACTGATTGTGGATTAGATGAATATACAGTATACCAGGAAAATATAGTTGACACATGCACTGAGTGAAGTATCCAGTTCACTTGCAGATATATTGTTACTAAGTGACCTAATACTTTTCCTTAGCAGGTTTTGCTAGTGTGGACTTGGCTTACCAGTTCCTAAATAGGGCACTTTAGCTGAGACCAGTGTAATGATGAACACTGATGATGGGTGTGGAGCTGTCAAACCCAGCTGTGACTCTCAATCCTCTATCTTTGATATGGGGAGCATTGTGTGTCCAGTGAGTGTCTGCTGCCTGAAGTTTCCTAAGGATGTCTGGAATGCTTGGACAACTAGAACTTTACCAGAGCAAGTGTTTAAATGTTAGGAATGCTTTGGATTCCAACTGATAGGAGCGTGGAAGTGTTTATGTGGGTGTATATACATACATGAAAGAAGTGTACACATGATAAAAAAAAAGAGGATCTTAGTATCATAGTAACATTCGCAATAATTTACACTGCAAAGAATAATTGCCTTCAAAAATACAACTTTTGTTTAGAAACATTGCATTTCTGTGGTGTGCTATTCTAAAACAATTGTTCAGAGTAGTGTGTGTTAAAAAAAAAAAAGAACACTTTTTAAGTGAAATACCCTGGTAAAGTAGAAAGTCCATTGATGCAGTGTCAGTGTACAGCGTATTATAGTATATCATGGACCTGCACTGGGATCAGCATGTGTCCATGTGTCTAATTAGCATGATCAGGTTTATGAGGATTATTATTTTAAACCTGTATTGTGTAAATACTGCTGGTATATCTAGATTTTACAAATCAATTCTGATATTTTCCACTTAAACAGCTAGCAGCAAGTAGTTAAAAATGTGCATGCATACATTAAATTATTATTTATTTATTTCAGGTACTTATATAGCGCCATCAATTTACGTAGCGCTTTACACATATATTGTACATTCACATCAGTCCCTAACCCTCAAGGGGCATACAATGTAAGGTCCCTAACTCACATTCATACATACATATGCTAGGGCCAATTTAGACAGGAGCCAATTCACCTACCAGCATGTCTTTAAATAAAGAACAATTCGATGTTTATGAAAAAGGCAAAACTTTTTTTTTAGTTTTTAGATAAAGTGAGGAAGGATTAAAGTGACATTAAAAGTAAAATTAAAATAATAAAATAACAAACATGTCATACTTATCTGCTCTGTGCAGTGGTTCTGCACAGTGCAGCCCCGATCCTCCTCTTTTCAGCTCAACCCTGCAGTGCTCCTGGCTCCTTCCTCCTGCTGAGTGAACCCCAGAGCAAGCAGCTTGCTATGTGGGCACCCAAGCAGGCTTGTTCCTGAGCCGCTGTTCTGCGTGTCCCCACCACTTTTCTCTCTTAATTGTCACACTGGCTGTGATTGACAGCAGTGGGAACCAATGGCTCCAATGAGGAGGCAGAGTCCTTGGAGAGCTGAGGCTCTTGTGCACATCGCTGGAATGTGATGGGGCTCAGGTAAGTATTAGGAGGGGCTGCACACTGAAGGTATTTTACCTTCATGCATAGAATGCATGAAGGTAAAAAAACTTGAACCTTTATAACCACTTTAAATTTTTATTGCTGTATGTGTACCCACTGAGGAGATTCACCAATCTATTGATCCTGGTGCTTCCAGGGACAGTATTTAGCTACCTATGAATGCAGCAAACAATCCACCCCGGCTGCCCATATGTAGCAGAGAGGGATTGGAACCCCTGTCAGGTTTTTATTGCTGTCTGTGTCCTCCTTAGAGAGATTAATGTTTACCATTAATGGGTTGTCCCCATAAATGTAAGAGATGGGAAATCTTCCAACGGGGACACTAGATCTGGTGACCCTGGTGACAACCAGTATTACCCTCAATTTGAGTGGGTTTCCTCACACTATCTGTGTTTCTGTTTTGGTTATTGGACAGGATGTGAAGGAAAATCTCCCTATTGGGACACAGATCACAAAAACAAACCTGGCACAACCCTCCATTATTTTATCCAATTTGAAAAAATAAAGTATTGCTGTTAGTCCTACATTAAAGTTTATAATTTTTACTTTTTTCACTGAAGGTAACATCTCCCTCTCTATTCTCTCTCTCTCTCTCTCTTTATTAATAACAGTACCTCTGATCATTTTTACTTTTTCGGGGTTACATCTGATGCTCTATGTATGTATATATGTGTGTGTGTGTACATGTGTGTATGTATGTATATATATATATATATATATATATATATATATATATCTTTTTTTCCCATAGAATAGGTGCAGGAACTGCCCCACTGTTTATCTCCCACCCCATACCCATCTCCCAGTACTGCCCCTGTTAAGTATTTTGTATGCAATTTGTTAATGATAATAAGAAAAGCAGTAAAATAGATCTCTCGCAGCCAGCAACAATAGATTCTCCTACAACAATAGACCCCCACAGCATCAATGGACCTCCCGCAACAAAACACCCCAGCCAAAATAGATCCAACCCAGCAAAAATAGACCCCCAGCAGCACAATAGATCCCCCAGCAGCTAGAATCAATAGACCCTCCAGTAGCCAGCATCAATAGATCTCTCGCTCAACAGTAGATCCCTTCCAGCAACAATTGACCCCCCCCACCCCCCAGCAACAATAGACGTCCCCAGAAACAATAAACCCCCAGACAACAATATATCCCCCAGCAGCCAGTATCAATAGACCCTCCAGCACATCCCAGCAAACCTTACCATTACATACCTTCAGTGCTGGAGGTGACGTAACTGCATTCCCCCACACTCTCACTGAAAAAAAGCCATATATATATATATATATATATATATATATATATATGCAGCCAACCAGTTTTGGAGGATGCATGGACATGCATAAGGACTGTCATTGACCCAGAACAAGCATGTGCATATATAGCGTCAGGAAACTGGTGGTATTGGGTCTTGGTCAGTGACTCACAAAGAAATAAATCGTGATTGGTGCAGAGGGGTTCACTATTGTGACTGATAATGATTTACACTTAAAACACATCACTAAACAGCTTTTCATTTTACACTCCATTTAACATTCAAAGAAAATCATAGTCTTGTAGTAACTGGTTGGAAGTTGGAATTAAAATCAGCACAGAATGCAGGGCCATCAAGTGCATCTTGTGCGTTCATCTGTCTCCTCGTGTTCCTTTGCCTCCTTTCCCCCATAGACGCAGTGCTTATTTGGCATTGTGAAGAGCTGGAGCAGGTGTCTGCTTCTGAGATTAGTTTTAACAAGGGCAGGAGGTCAGTGCAGATTTCCTGTTCCTCCATAGCCACAGAGATAATATACATGGCCTACTTGTTGTGAAAACAGTCACTGAAATTCTTACAAAGTTCTTGTGTCCATTACAAATACTTTTCCTGTGGTTTACGTCACAGCCTGTATAAATGAGCTACAAGCTGTAAGAAGCAATGCATTATTTAATAGCTTGGAGAAACGGTGTTGGAATAAGAAGTAACTGAGAGTGCAGAGTTGTACATCTTTTATATACAGTGTTCTTTTTTCCTTGCCTCTGATAGGGGAATCAAGTATCAAAGGCAAACTATTGCTGTTGCCCCCTTTCCTTCCCTATTACCAAGACATTGGTGCACTTCTAAACTCAGAACTTTAGTTTGAAATGCATACCAGAGCTTCATTAGCCACTCAACAGAATGTTATTGTTATTATTATTATTACATCGAGTTTATATAGCGCCAAAGGGTTTGCTCAGCGTTGTATGTTAGAAAGTTTAAAGTGTTACTAACCCCAGGACCCTGCATTCACTATGTCTGGTCTCCCACAGTACACACAACAAGGAATTGCAATTATTTTTAGTAAATATAAACTGCTAAATACCTTTTCTCGCCAGCAGTTCGAGCAGTCTTGTGACTTCAGCAGAGCACTGGTTAAAGCTTGTAGGAGGAGTTTTCATTCTCCCCTATGAGGGTGCATAACCCCTGACCCTCTGTCTGGACAGTGCTGATTGGCCCTGTGATGATCACATGCACTCTCTCAAGAAAAAAAAAACTCTCTAGCAATACTCACCAAACTGAGCATGTGCAGCTTGCCCCCAAGGCTCTGTTCTGTCAGCAGGTGGATTGGGGACAGTAGAAGAAGGAAGGGGGGGGGGGATCAGAGAAGGCAGGATCAAACATCCTTTTTACACAATGCAGAGGATTAACCCCATAGGTTCCACAGTGAGTCTAACAAGCATGCTTTACTGCATATACAGGCTGATTTTACTGTTGTGAGTTTAGTAACACTTTAAGGATCCTAGCCATTGTAGCAGAGACCAGTGAAGCTAGTGGGAAAGGAACTAAGTTTAAAGGTTAAGATTAGCAAGTTTTCAAAAAACACCACAGGGCTAGAGCCTTCAGAATCTATTTTGGTAGGCCTATAAATCTCATATTATGGCATTAGAGGTAATTCTACATGTCTTCAGGTCTGCTCTGCTGGACTAGGGGCACAGTTACTAAAACTGGAGAGTGCAAAATCTGGTGCAGCTCTGCATAGAAACCAATCAGCTTCCAGGATTTGTTGTCAATGCCTAATTTAACAAGCTGAATTTAGAAGCTGATTGGCTACCATGCACAGATTATGCACTCTCCAGTTTTAGAGCTGATTCACATATGTGCAGAGTAGATTGAAGCTCAGGTTCACAGCTAATTGATACAGTAGTTGTTCACAGGTTTACATCAGGTTCAGGACAGGATTAGCTCAGGATCTTATCCTGTTCACACATATGCGGTTTAGAAACGGTTCCCATAGAAGTCAATAGCCTGTAATCCACGCCTGAACCGGACTGCACTGCTCAGAAATTGGACATGACTCTTTTTTAAAACCGCACTGGCAGTGCACTGGACATATGTGAACAGACACCATAGGAAGCAATGTTTTTTCACATGTCATGTGGATTGGATGCAG